TAGTAGAGGGAGCGGACCGTGAGTTGAGGAAATCGAGGGACGCGACCCACTTCGCCACAGACGGTCCCGCGCCTCGCCGCTATGACGGGCACACGCCCCGCACCGTCCGCTGTGTGCCCGTCTTTGTCCGGAGTGAATACTCCAACGCGCTCGTCGGTGACGGCGTCCCCGGATTTCGCCGCGCTCGGCGAACCTCGACAGCGCTTTCGGTGGCATGCAGCTCTTTGCGACAGAAGCCTGGAGAGCAGCTCCTCTGCTGCTCACACACTCTGCACAGTTGACACAGCCTACTGTGCGGCTGCCACAGCTGTGACAGCGATGGGCTCGCCCTCACTGGCCCTCAGTCACTTGTGCTGCGGCTTGTGTGAGCGACACTGCTCAGCGACTGCCGGCACACTGTGAGACCATGGGTGTGAGGTTAAACCACGCTACCAGCGCTTGGTCACATCGGCCCCGAGATCAGATCCTTCTACTCTGTTGATGACAAGACTTGTCTACTGGCTAAAGCCGAGCAGGAGGGCCCAGCGAGCGATTCTAAGATCAGGCCTGCCACTGGGCGAAAATCGGCCGTCCCTCAGTGCTTCCAGCCTGCCCGCTTCAGTTTCCTCAATTGGCTCGAATTTTGCTTGTAGAAAAAAGAATAGCGCCGATCGCGGGCCGCCGGAGCGGGCATTTCGAAGTGGTCAGCGGGCATTTCGAAGTGGTGCGGCGGCAGGCTGCCACCGCTGCCCGGGCGCCCCGAGCGGCGGCGGAGGGCCGCCCAGGCCACCACCAGTGCCCCTCCCACCGGCAGCGCGGCGGCAGCGGCGCCGACCGCCCCTCCATCAGCGGTGGCGCGACGGCTGTCGTCGGGGCGCCGGCAGGTGCCGCGCGCAGAGGGTGCCACCGGACCGGCCGACGCGCGCCCGGCGGAGCCTTCGTCGTGCATGGCGGGCCGAGCACCCCCGCGTCGCTTCTCGGCGCATTGGAGAGCAGAGGAAGCTGCTGGCGTCGCCGCTGGGATCGGCGGCGGCGCCAGCAGCGTTCTCGGATCTGAAGCCGACTTTGAGCGCCGATCGATCGATCTGAGGGCTGGCCGATGGGTGGCGCTGGGACATCGCCGCCGCCGCGGAGGCCGGCGGCGACCAGAGGAGCGGTTGGGGCGCGTGGCGCATATGTTACCTGCCAAGTGAGCATTCAAGTGTGCTTCGAGATTTATTCGAGATTTGTAACTTAGATTTTCGTTTCCAGCGGGGAGGTGGCAGACCTGATCTTAGAATCGCTCCATCGCCGGCGTAGGCGGAGCGGCGGGCCCTTCGTTACAGAGACAACAAAGACATTTCACCCCTCGGGCTGTTGTTGCAGACAGAAAAACAAATTTGGCGCGCGTGCGCGCAAGGTCTGCTAGTAATTACATATTTTGCATGCGATATACTAATACTTTAGTCTTTCCGGCGAACACGGTCGCTGGTCCATGCGTGGCTGCGAGCCGCGCGACGGCCTCTTGTTCATGCCGGCCCCGTCGCCACGAGACTCTCGCACGACGGTCACGTAACCCGCTCGACGGCGCCTCGGGGCAGCTGGTCGTGGCTGGGGTGGCGGATGCGCCCCTTTGCGTCGAGCACTGTCTCGTAGTGCCGTGCCAGGTACCCCATCGGCCAATTGTGGTAGCCGAGCGCGCGCAGCAGCAAGTCCTTCGCGGGCTTGCCTGAGCGGCCGCCGCCCGGCAGCGGGAACGTCGCGCGCTCGGCCGCCGCGGTCACGTCGTAGCAGAAGCAGAGCGGCAGCGGCGTGCTTGTATACGGCACGAGGTCGTCCGTGTTCACGAAATGCTCGGCAAAGTCGGCGTCGCGCCCGAACTGTTCGGCGCGCCGCGCTGCCGCGATCGTCGACGCGTCGATCGACGCGAAGCCGTCGAGACCGCGCAGCCCGCGCTGCACCTCGTCGTCGGGCGGGCCCGAGGTGAACGGGTCGGTCAGCGACAGCCTCACCAGCGCGCGCGATCCTCGGCCCTGCCGCGCCGCGACGTAGTCGGAGACGCACTGGTTGGCGACAAACCCGCCAGCCGAGGTGCCTATCACGTGCAGCGAGCGCAGCCCGGGCGCCTCGTCCGCCAGCGCACGGCCAAGCCTGGCACCGACGTCCTGCGCCACGCGCGAGAGCCTCGTTGGATCCTGGTCGATCCACTGCTCCCAGTTGAAGCAGTCGACGAAGCGCGAGATGCCCACGGATGCGTCGGAGGCGCGCATAGCGCTCCGAAGATCGTCCGTTTCGCGGTCCTCACCACCGCGCCCGTGGAAGATCAGCACAGCGTCCTTCTGATTTCGGAGGCCCGCCGGCAGCGTCACACCGGAAAGGTCGGCCGGGTTGAGCAGATACTTGCGCTCGAGCTTATCGACCAGAAGGTCGGACCTTTCGGTGTCGGACACCGCCGGGCCGCCCCCAGGCCACGTGAATATCCTTGCCGACGCAGGCAAGACAGGCCCGCTGCACGTCGCTGCTGCCAGCCCTCCCCACGCGGCCGCTCGTCGGCTCAGATGACCGTCCCATCGCACACTGAGCGCCGCTACGCTGCGAAAAGAGGAGGAGAGCAGCAGCCAGTGCAGGCAGCGCGCACCTGAGCGCGGGCCACCCATGTCACCCAAAGCTATCGATACCTGGCGGGGGTAAGGCCGAAATCGTTCACACCTGCTCTTGCAGGTGTGAACACAAAGGATTAGCTGTAAATACCCAGCTGCTCCGCTTACACTTACCAGTGAAGCGTGAACAGCGCCACGAATTTGAACAGCGTTCCTTGAATGATATCGGTGTCGAAACACCGCTCTCCTCACAGCTGACCTGTACTTGTACCTGAACCCGTGGATGAGAGATAAACACTCTTGCTGCCATTTAAACAGCAATAGATCCGGCCCTCACGCGGCCTAATCGATACCCGGCCCTCACGGAATCGGTCCCTCGTTAACAGCAATTGATTCAAATCAAGAGAGAGATTTTTAGCAATGTCAATGGGCGCGCCCAGGCCGGACGGATAGGGGATCTCGCGTCTTGTGGTTTGTGTGTCTGTGTGTCGCTCCAGCGTGCCGTCATCTCCTGTCTTCGCACCAACAACAACAAAACGCATTTTTCTTTGTCCCGTGCCAGTGTTGTGCGACGGGGCTTGTAAAATTCTTTTTCTGCAGACTTGCGTGTTGGACGTGCGTCGGTTGATCAGGGTCTTTGGCGTGTCGATATGCTTGTTTCGCGTCATCTGCGGCCGCAAACATCTCGGAAGACCGCACTGACCGACCTTGGCGGGCCAAGTAGGCTTGCTGATGGTGCGGCGGCGCAGTATGATGAGAGCCTCTCCCGCCTCTTTGCGACGCCCTCGGACATGGAGAAGCGCTGCAATGCTCTTCACCCATGGATCATGCCGTCGGTCGAAAGACGGTTCAGGTTCCACCACAACTGGACCATGGAGACGATGCGTGCGGGTCCGCGCCAGCGCACCTTTGACCTGCTCAACGAGTCGTTTGCGGCGCACGGCCCTGCGGAGAAGAAATTCAAGGGCCTCGCCTCGCTTTACTACAACGGCTCCACGCCGACAGCGCTTCTCTTTTGGGCTGGCGGCGCCAAGTCGATGGAGGGGTTTGCGGCACCAATCCTAGCCGCGATGGCACGTCACCAGGCGGATCTGCTCCCGCGACTGAGCGAGCCACTCCACCTCTTTTGGACAATGCTCGACTTCCCCATACTCGGCCGCCGCTCAGAGAGGCGGAACAAGCACCGGCTGCCGCATTTCGCAATGTGCGGCCAGCGGACGCAGGCCGAGATCCCGGTGCCAGACTTCACTTTCCATTCGTACGGCAAGCTGAGCGGCCGCGAGCCTGACACCAGCTGGGCTGCCATCTCGCGCCGCTTGAGAGAGGGTGCCGAAGGCAGGCAGGCGTGGAGGCTGCGACAGCGCCGCCTCACCTTTCGCGGCACCGTCTCGGGCTCGCGGATGAGGCGCGCGCTCGTGCCGAACCTGATGGCATGTGCGCGAAACGAGACGGCCGTGCCACTAGACGTGCAGGACACGTCTGGCGGCGCCCGCAAGCGCGCGTATCGCCTCAACCTGACGGAGCAATGCCGCTCGCGCTACCTGCTGCATCTCGAGGGCAATTCTTACTCGGCGTCGCTCAAGTACAAGCTCGCTTGCGGCTCGCTTGTGCTGCTGATCGACACCTCCTGCGAGGAGTTCTACTACCCAGCGCTGCAGGCCCACAAGACGCACGTGCCGATCCAGCTCTCCAAGATATGGAGCAAGAATGAAGATCTTATCGCGCGCGACTTTCGAGCAACTTTGCTGCCAGATCTGCGGGCAAAGCTCGCCTACTACGAGAGCGCCGAAGGCGGGGCAGCGGCGGCGCGCATCGCCGCCGCCGGGCAGCGCTTTGCCGCCGAGCAGCTGGGCCCAGGCGCGATAAGCTGCTACTGGTACGCCGTGCTCCGGCACTCCCTTCTCCTGCAGCACGCACAGCGCCCGGGCGGGCAGCACGCCACGCCCGAGTCCAGGGCTGAGCACGAGGCGGACGTGGCGGCTTTTATGGGCTCGGTGCGCTACAACATCAAGCTCGAGTACACGGAAGCCGGCGGCTTCCGCGTGACGCCGCTCTGCCACCGGAACGAAGGCGGCTCCTCTGAGAGCGGGGTCACGTGCTACAAGTACAGGAGGAACGACTGGAGACGGCGCTAGTAGCTTTCTGTTCGCACTCGGTTTACCACGAGCGTAGACGGGTTGGCGGGGAGGGGGGGTCGCGCGGGGCTCTTCGCGCGCGACTGCATCTATCATGATGCTACTCGAGTAGAGTATGGCTAAACCGTATCATCATGTGATCTGTGATCTGTAAGGGTCCTCCCGCAGGCGCATTTTGTATACCGAGGCGGTGCCCGTCATGTGGCTATGCATAGGTTATGATATAGCCCATACCACGCGACAAGGAAAAGTCACAACATTTAACTCGTCACACAAGCACACCTACGCTAGACCTTCCTCTCGACCGGGACCGGCCGCAGTATGTTGGGCTGTTGGCCGTCGTTGGTTCGCACACATACAACGAATCGCTCCCTCCAGCCTCCCCAACCGATCTCCGCCCGCCCCGAACCTATGATCCTAATGGTGAATGCTGAGTGAACGCTACGAGCCCCCCTCCCTCCCCCTTCCCGCTTCACCCCCTTTCCTGCTCCCTCCTCAAAACCGCCCGAACCCGAGCCCCATCCTTGGCCGCTCAGAGACCGCCGGCCGCCGCTCGTCGCCGCCGAGCTGCCGTCGGGTCGTCACGTTGCCCGAGCCGTCGGTGCGCTCCTCCTCGACGGTGACCTGTCGGAGGGAGGCAGGGGAGGGGAGGAGCCGGCGGCTTGGTCTCACAGAGCGATCTTGGGGTGCGCTTGGGGTGTGCGGCGCGAGTGTGCGGCGCGAGGTCTCGTTGGCCGGGTTTGGGGGGGGGGGGGGGGGGGCTCGCAACCTGCGTGCGCCCGTCCGGTCCGGTGGTGCGGGTCTCTCGTCGCGTCACGCGCACGCCGTCCTGCGAGGAGAGGAGAGGGGAGAGGGGAGGGGAGGCTCGCCCTTGGGCGGGGCGGGGCGGGGTCGGCGGGGCGGCGGGTGAGGGCGAGGGGTGTTGGGGCGAGACCTGGATGGTGGTTGAGGTCGAGATGCTCGAGGAGCTGCCTCCGCCCAAGCCTGGCGACGGAGGCGAGGGTTTGGGTCGGGAGGGGGTCGGGAGGGGTTTCGCGGAGGCAGGCTAGAGATGCGCCTCCGCCCCCAAAGGAGGAGGAAGAGGAGAAGGAGACGCCACTCATGCCGCCCATGCCGCCCATGCCGCCAAACATGCCGCCAAACATCGACGGCAGCCCGCCGCCCGCGCCGCCACTGAACTGCCGCCGCAGACCGCTGCCGTGCGCGGCAAAGAACGGGTCGTCGCCAAAGAAGTCAGAATGCGGGTCTCGGCCGCCGAAAAACTCGGCGAAGGGGTCGCGGCCACCAAAGACCTCGCGGAAGATGCTCTGCGCGTCCACAAACCCAAACTCCTGTCCGTACTCGTGCCGGCCGCGCCCACCTCCACCGCCTCCACCGACGTTGGGTCGCCCCGCGTGCCCGTAGGCGTCGTACACCCGTCGCTTTGCCGGGTCCGCGAGGACCTCGTACGCCTCGGCCACCAGCTTGAACATGTCCTCGGCGCCTTGGTCGCCCTGGTTCTTGTCAGGGTGGAACCGGATGGCCAGCTTCTTGTACGCCTGCCGGGTGAGGAGAGGGTTGCGTGAGTCCTGCCGCCCGCGCGGCCTCAGTCAGCGGGGTGATGCGCCGCCTTTTTGATCTCGGCCTCGTCCGCGCTGCGCGTGATCCCGAGGACCTCGTAGTGGTCCGGCTTGTCCGCGTCCATGGCCTCTCTGAGCTTCTCCTCTTTCGGGCGGCCAGCCACACTCGCGAAACGTGAAAAAGAATTTAAACAGGCCACTCTCTCTCACAGCACGACGAGAGTGGGACAGCTGCGAGGTGGCATGAAGGTTGCAGCGAGAAGCGGCGAGAGACTGCGAAAAGAGATACGAGGAGGCAGACTCCCCAGGGTGGGCGACGGCTAGCGCATCACACCCTCCTCTCCTTAAAATCCCTGTGTGGTGGCGGCGTGCCGTTCTCCCATCCCTCCCTTGGGTTGTGTGTTTTCTTTCTTTCTTTTAGCACAGACGTAAAGAATTTTCCTCAGAAGGTCCCATCCCTCCATTAAAATCCCTGTGTGGTGGCGGCGTGCCGTCCTCCCATCCCTCCCTTGGGGTGTCTTTTTCTTTGTTCTTTTCCCATCCCTCCCTTGTTTCCCGTTTTCTTTCTTTTTACTAGGCACGGGACTGGCGCGCACTGGCACTAACACTAAAAAAGAAAACGCGCTTCCACAAGTGCACTCGGCCATCATTGCGAGGCGCAACGCTGCCAGCTTCGACAACAACGCGCACCCGAAGATGGGCGGCGGGATGCCGCGGGCGCCTCCGGAGCAGTTCGAGTAGGGACGAGAGGGGGGGGGCGGGGGCTAACCACGGACTACTACATGCCGAAGGTTCGAGGGCGACTACTCGCCGTCTGGGTCGCTTGGGGCGCGCGGCTCCGTCGAGGACCGGGCGCGCCCCCTACCCGGCGCGGCGTAGGTCCCACTCTGACGCAGAGAGGGGAGGCACGGTCGACAGCCCAATCCGTCAACTACATTCATCTTCTGGAGCTTGGCCCCGTGCACCAGCGGTCCGGCAGGCTGCCCCCAAGGCCCCCCGGGCCGCTGCGGGTTTGGGAGTTATGCTTAGGCACAGCTTCGGCGATGGCAGCCCCTCTCTGGGGTGCTGCATAGGCGGGGAGTCTCCCCCGCTGGTCTCCTCCTTCCCATTTTTCTTTTCTTTTGAGAGCAGAACGCCGGGTTGGTCTTGTATGTGCATGTGGGGCGTGTGTCAGTGGAGGGGTGGCAGGGGGTGGGGGTGTGCGGGGCAGAAGCTCAACGTCGGTCGGGGCTTGTCGAGGCTGAAGATCACGAGGGGGGAACGAGGAGGGGGGAATGGGCGGTCGGCGATGGGGTATGATGCAGCCGGGCGTACGGGGTAGTCGTCACACTCTCCTGCCTCACAAGGGCGGGGCTGTCCCGGAAAGTGAGAAACGCCGGACAGCGTGACGCACAACTTTACCCTCCCATATGTGTTGGGCTCCTCCTTCGCTGTCCCATCTCCTCATCTCTTTCCCGCCTGGGGCGGGGCGGTGGCCGGGCGAGCGGTGCTGAACGGCGCGTGTGTGACTGCGACGAGTGTGACTGCGACACGGGGCCACTGGGTTTGTACTATTAACAACGAAGGCGCTCTCATAAAAAGAAAACTTCTCGGGCTTTTTTCTGGACGAAAGACTCGACTGGCCTGAGCCAGAGGCAGCGGCCGCCCGGCGAAGCCTGAAGGCCTCCTCGCTCTCGACACGCCACGTTCCACAGGTTTGTTGCCGCGTTGCCGGGTGTGTTCACGCCTCTCTGCAACGCGAGAGATTTTAGAAACCCAACATTTGCCCACGACTGTCACAGTGATTTGGGCTCGGCAGCTTGTTAGCCCTCAGCCGAAGCTGGGGCCGGAATTCTGGGGCCGGTCCCGTAGCCGAGAGAGACCGCGCCGATGAGTTCGACGCGGTCGGGGGGGGCTGCGGAGAGGCCAGCGAGATGCGCTCATGTGAAAAAGAAAGAAAACAGGCAACCCAAGGCGCAAGGGAGGGATGGGAGGACGCTCCTGTGACTGTTACTTTTACTTAGCGTTGCAATTCTTCTTTGAAACGCACACACAGTCGATTGCCTCCATAATGGCGCTTCCACGGCGTGTCTGGTGATGGAGCGGCAAGAACCTAGAAGGGGAGAGAAAAATAAAAAAGAAGAAAACGTAGCACTTTGCGGCCGTGGTGTCCATTTGGTAGCCTCGGGTAGCGCGGCAACAGGACTCTCTTCCCTTCCACAAAAACCTTCTGCATCATGGCGGCGGCCGCTCGCTGCGTAAGCTGCAAGGTGAGGGCGACCTGCTCTCTATCCTCGAAAGCCGCCGCGGCGGCCCCTCGTCCGGCTCTGCCCGAGCAATCTGTGTTCCGCCGCCCACTTCCGACCACGCTCGTTCGCTTCGCCAGCCGGACAGGCAAACGGATGTTCAGCGAGGCCTTGAGAGGCGCGTGTAGCCAAGCCAGCCTCCACTGCGAGCCGACACAATCTCTCTGTCGCCCCAGACCCTTCCCTCCCGACCCGCCTTCAGATGGGACCGCGGAGCCTTACTTTCCGCTGAGCGAGCAGTACGTGACGCAGCAGGAAATCTCCTTCTGCGCCCTCGGCAGCCTGACGATGGTAATGAACGCCTTGGGAGTCGATCCGAGGCGCAGGTGGAGGGATGAGTCTGGACCTGGCTGGCGGTGGTGGGACGACGAGATGTTCACCGAGGGCGCGTGCCTGCCGAGCCTTGACGACCTGCGGCGCGAGGGCGCCGGCCTCGCCGAGTTCGCCGTCCTCGCCGCCGCCAACGGTGCTGCCGTCAACTCGCAGCACGCCGAGGCGTCGAGCGAGCGCTCCTTCCGCAAAGCGCTCGCCGCGGCGGCTCGGCTCAGCGACTCCTTTGTGGTCGTCAACTTTGACCGCTCCGCCCTCGGGCAGACCGGCTGCGGCCACTTCTCCCCTGTCGCCGGCTACCACGCGGCGTCCGACTCGGTTTTGGTTTTGGACGTCGCTCGCTTCAAATACCCGCCGTTCTGGGTGCCGGTGCCGGCGCTGTGGGAGGCGACGCGCTCCTTCGACGCTGACGCCGGCGCGAGCCGCGGTTGGCTTCGGCTGTCCGCGTGGGACGGCACGTCGTGCTCGCGGCTCGGGGCGTCGGAGACGACGTCGGCACGGCTGGGCGTTTGCTAGTTCCCCCTTTTGCTCCGGCGTTGAACTTGGTTGTGTCTGCGCTGTGGTTGTGACACAGGGACGTGAGTGGGGTGCAGCTCCGTGAGCCCGTGATTTTCAGTTCGTGGGCATAGATACCGCCGACCCCACGCTCTTCTGTAGCGGCAGGAAGCGAACCAGGACAGCATTCACTGACTCGAACGACCCAACCACGACCCAACGCGCGCGACCTTGCCAGCATGCACGACGCAGCAGTCTCCGCCTCCGCGGGTTCGGGGGTATGAGGTAGCTTGCGCGCTGCCGACGCAGGCTGGGCGCCTGCCACGCTCGCCGTGTGCAGGCGCGCCCATGGTTAGGATGCCTATACCCATCAGGGCGCCGGAGCCCGGCTGATCCGTGCACTCCGTCGAGGTGAATTCGGCGGCATACCGCACGTGCGACGCATTGGTGAGGTCCTTCCAAAGCTGCGGCTGCTCTGCCATTCCCACGGCATGGTTGACAATGTCATGGAAGGCCACAACGCGGCAGGCGGTGCGCATCGTCAGCCAGTCGCGCTTAGCCAAGTAGTAGGAGTGGCCGCCATCAATTAGGCAGAAGTCGATCACAGGCTCGGGCCACCTTGCGGGGTAGGCACCATCATACTGCTCCAACAGGCCAAGCGGCTTCCAAGACTCCTTGCCGCCGTACCAGCCGTTTTTTGCCCTGCGCACTCCGTTGCGAGTCGGGAGGGTGAGTCGTAGCGGGTAGACTATGCCGTACGAGACTGCGGCGTGTGTTCTCTCCTTCGCCCGCGACTATCGGACAGCGGTGTGCCCGCTGCCGCGCTCGGAAGCTACCGGCGAGTCGTGCGTGTGTGCCCACCTCTTCACTCCGCGGTGATCAAGTAGGCTCGCGATGCATGGGCTGACATAGTTGCGGATGTCGAACGTGTAGTGTGTGATTTCGGGTGCAATTCGCCGTAGATATGAGGCGAGGGCGAGGTCAGACCACCCACTCCAGGTGCCAACGCACACGCTGCGGCGCGAGTGATTGCCTAGCAGTCACCATGTGACATTGCGTCACGAGTGCTCGCACCTCCTTGGCCCACGGCGACATGTCATTTAGCCTAGCACGCCACGAAGGTGCTTCACGAGGCATGCAAACTGCGTCGGGACCTGAGGGTGGTCAGGTAAGATTATGCAAGGGCGCGGTAAGGACAGCAACCAAGGGAAGGGCACCTGCCACATGCCCATTGCGCGCAGCCCAAAATTGTCCTTCTTCACCCCAACCTCAGCGTCGGTGCCCTTCGTGACGTCGAGAAAAAATCGACTCTCGCTTCCAAACTCAGCGCTGATCGGACCAACCTTGCCACTGGGAGGGCCCTGGATGCCAATTTTCCGCACAGCGCTGGAAACCGTGCCGGGCCCAAAAACGCCAACCAGCGGTTTATCCCGAATGTCATTGAGCGTCTCCAGCAGCCCGTTGTGAATTGTGGCACGGGCATCATTCGCGCAACACCATTCCGCTACCTTTGGAGAGGGCGCCAGGCGTCGGCAGCGCTCCATACTATTGTTGCGTCAGGGCCCGGCTGCTGCGCGAGTTTGCGCAGTGATGAATTATGCAAAGCCCCCCCCGCCCCCAAACCCTCTTGATGCCGTCGCCTCCCCCACACCTCCGAAGCCGTCTCCACCGCCGAAGCCACCTCCACACACCTCCGCCATCTCCACCTCCGAACGAAGCCTGCGCCGCCCCTCCTCGACGCGTGCGTGCTCGCTCCAACCCACCCATCATGAACGAGAAGGATTACTGCATCAAACTCTCTACCGTGCCAAAGGTGCGCGTCACCGCCATGTAGTCGGATTGCTTCTCGTCAGCGGCGAAGCTGCAGTCAGTATGAGTGATGCGTGAAGGTCAATTGTGGCACGCCTGCCCGCCTGCGCCACCTCCAAAGCCACCTCCGCCTCTGAAGCCGTCTCCACCTCCAAACCCATCTCCATCTCCGAAGCCACCTCCACCTCCGAAGAACTATCTCTCCACCTCCGAAGCCGTCTTCACCTCCGAAGCCGCCTCCACCTTCACCCCCACCCGCCACTTGCAGCAGGTGGACCGTCGACCGATGGGTCTGGGAGAGGTCTTGTGATCAAGGGCTGCGGAGCTACCTCGGTAGTACTAGCCTGTCCGGGCCTGACCTAGCCGTGCCGAGGTAGGACGTACGCGTATGTCGCAGAGGGGGTGACTTTTGGCTTTTGCGGCACCGCAAGGCACACAGCAAGGCACACAGCTGTAATGCACATAAATAATCGGTACAAGTGGCACGCCCCGGCCGTGAGCCCAACCCCCTGGAGGCGCGGAGCCGCGGGAGGGCGCCAAACGCAACGGTCGCCCACAGAGAGACACAGGACCCCGCCCATTTCTCGCTCGCTCATGCCTCCATCACCCTCACCACCGGCGGGAGGCCGGTCGAGAGCTAGGTCGAGAGACGCGCGGAGATGGACTTTGGGGGGGTTGCCGCTGGGATGGCGACCGTGACGCCGCCACGATCGAAATTCTCGATGTCCTTGCCGCACACGGCGGTGCGAAGTTCAACTCTCCCCGTGTAGGCGCAGAAAGCGATGGTGGCCAATGCGCCGGCTCCGACGAGAACGCCTGCCAGGAATGAAGCGACAGAGAAGCCGACGAGGGCGAGATTCGACGCCTCGCTAGCCTATTCACAGCTACAGCTGGTGAAGAGGTGGGCCGCTAGCGGGTCGAGGCCCGTTGCCGCTGCCACCTCGTAGTAGTCGCCGTGCACAATCAGTGGCGTCGGCACCGCCTGCGGATCGGTGCATGCCTCCAGGCCGGCGGTCGCGTTGAGCGAAGGTACGCTGCTAGCGTCTTGCTCGATGTGCTCCACGGTGAGCGGGACGACGAGGGTCGCCTCGCCGGTTCCGTTCCGCTGCAGGACCCGAGCCTGAAGCATGCCCAAGTCTGCTTGCTGCAGCCGCCGGCCTGCCATCGCGAGGAGGGAGGCCGCATTCGAGACGTAGGCGATCGCCTCGCCGATGTCGAGAGTGAAGTCGTGCTCCCACGCCTATATTCAAAGAGGCACCTGTGGTGCTTCACGGCATGGTCGAGCGTGAAGTGCTGCGGTGTACCCCATCGTCGAGGTCGAGCGTCCCGCTGAGGAGGTACTTGCTGCGGCCAATGTCGAGCAGGAGCACCTATTCGCTGGGCCGGGCTACCCCGTAAGGGGAGGAGCGCCAGAGGGGAGCGGAGAGAGGAGAGGCAGAGGGGAGTGCCGCGTCATACAGGTCGAGCCGCCGCTGGCCGAAGAAGTTGAGGGTGAAGAGCGTCACGTGGTAGAGGCGCACGGTGATGACAGGCCCGTGCTCCGACGTCCACGCCGCGGTGAAGTCGACATTCAGGTCAAACAGCTCGAGCGTCGACGCCATCCTCGTGCTCCACCGGCCGGCGCTCGTGACCTCGCTCTCAAGAGTGACCCCGCGGATGGCGACGCCGTCGTGCCTGCTCGACGGCTCGACAATCGCGATGCGGGGGATACGAACCCTCGTGTACAGGCTCGCGGCGCCCGATCCGTGGTGCGGCACCGTCAGCGCCGCGTCGACGGGGAGCATCTCGGCGAGCCACTCGAGCGTGTCGAGCTTGTCGATCCCGTTAAGGGCGCTGTGCAGCAAGTCGGTCGAGGTCAGGCCGTACACTTGCAGGTAGATGCCAGTGACGCCCTCGCGCAGCCGCACGGGCGCGACGACAGGGTGGTGGAGGGCCGTGGAGAGGCCGTGCTCGAGCGTGCCCACCGCCCACTCGAGCTTCTCGTACGGGGCAAAGACGCTGCCTGAGGCCTACACCGACGGAGCGGAGTTGCGAGTTGGTCAGGTGTGCTCTAATCAGGTGCGGAGGCGGCATGACGCCACACCTCCTCTCCCGCCACCCCATTGATGGCCCTGAGTAGCTCCGCGCTGACTCCGGCCGCGTCACCAATCACGCAGAGCGCGAGGCGGCCGAACGCATCCATCGGTGGCCAGTCAACCGGCGCAACGCTCCACGTGAGCGCGACGCGGCTGTCGTAGCCCACGTGCAGCCTTGCGCCCGCTGTGAGAGTCGACGCCTCGCCCAAGGCCGGGCAGTGCATGCTCGCCGCCCCCTCCGCTTGCAGGTAAAAGGTGGTCCGCGTCGTGCGCTCCCACGCGCCGGTCACGACCTCCGAGTAGAAGCCCGCCTCGACGTAGAGGTTGCTGAGCGAGAGCCACTGCTGGCCAAAGGCGGCGGAGAGGTCGTCGTGCTGGTACTGAGCGAGCGCGCCCACAGTACCGTTGCGCGCGGCGGCGGCAGCGCTCAGCCCGTTGAGGCCCGAGATGTGCTCCTGCTCGCCAAGGGGGTGCTGGCCCTCGACGGGGAAGCTCAGCATCGTGCCGAGCACGGAGATGGTGACGTCGGCCGACACGTGGATCGCACCGGGGACGAGGGCGGCGCACGCGTCGGTGACTGTGATGGCGCCCACCGCAATCGGGCCGGCGAGGCAGGCGAGGGCCTGTGCTCGGAGAAGGCGAGGAGGCGTGAGTGGGGAGGGCGGTATGAGGCGGAAGGCGTGGCTTGGCGACACCTGGCCAACGCCGAGGTCAAGCTGCGGCTCACGGTCTCCGGGAGAGCACACGGGCAGCGACTCGCACAGCAGATCCACGAGGAGGTCGGGGGACGGCGAGGGCTCGAGCACGCCGTCGGGGGCGCCGCTGACGGCTTCGGGAGCAGGTGACGAGGGCGGGGGAGACGGCGGCAGAGATTCGATGGATGTCGCGGTGGGCGAGGGCGGCGGCGGTGGTGGCAGTGGCGGCGGTGGTGGCGGGGACAGCGGTGAGGGTGGCGAGGGCGGGGGAGACGGTGACGGCGAGATGCAGCAACCGCCACATTGCGGGCAGACGGCCAGCAAGTCGAAGTCGCCGTTCTCGCATGAGACCTGCTCCCATTGTGAGCAAGGCAGTGTGATCGTGCCAGTCGAAATGGCATGCTTGCACACCTTGGAAAGGCAAGTAAGAGGCGGCAGCGATGGAGGCGGCGATGGAGGTTGCGGAGTCGCGGGTGGTGGTGGCAGTGGCGAGGGTGGTGGTAGCAGCGGCGGAGAGGGAGAAGGGCAGCAAAATGCCAAGCACGACTCCTCGCTGATGTAGGACTGCCACCAGCTCTTCGGCTCGCCCGGGCACACTTGCCACGTGAAGTCGCCGGGGCAGTCGCAAGGCGGCGTCTCGCGGCAGACGGGGTGCGTGCCCGGGTATGTGATGCCGCCCACGATGCAGAAGCGCGATTGTGGCGCGAAGTCTATGTTTCCGACGAAGCGCGTTTGCTGCGCGAGCGGGACGGAGGCGAGGGAAAGCATGGGACGACGACGACGACCTGCGCGAGCGGAACGGAGGCGAGGTGAAGCATGGGATGACGACGCCAATGCTGCATTTGCGGCGGTGGCGGGGGCTCTTTCCTCCAACCTCGAGCTGCTGTTGTATTGGTGGACAAGGACGATGGAGACGCCGCAATTGAGTCACGTCGGTGTTCCTGGACGTCCAGGCGAAATAAGAAAACAGGATGTGCGGCATGTGCATTATAACATCCAAGCCCCTATAAACAAATAAACAAAACGGACACGCCAACGAGGGGTGGATAGGAGACAAATAAATCTTCTCTCAGGGTGGGAGAAGCAAGGACACGCGACCCATTTACGGCGGGCGGTTCCTGGACGTCCACGGCGACATACACAAGAAATCGGATTGTCTCGCGCACAGTCGTAAAGGGATGTGCAGTAAGGGGGCGCGATTTTTTCAACATCAGACGCCGTGCAGGACCGTCGTCAAGAAACGGATTCCACATGGCATCCGACGAAGAAAGAGCCGCGACGGCCCTCACCGCTGCCGTCCGCGGCGCCGCAGCGCGGAAGGCCGGGCCGCCGCCGCCTTCAACGGGCTTCGACTTGATCCGTCAGAAGTCCAAGGGCAGAATTGGAGCCGAAGTCAGCGAAGACGCTAAGAAGGCGTCAGTGGTGTGGGGGGAATCTGTCAAGACGGGCGAGAATCGCGAGGGTGGCCTGTCGGCAGCGGTGGTGCTGCCGTCGACGCAGCCGCCGCGCAAGCTCGTTCGGCAGGTGACGCCGCACCCCAAGAAGCAGTGAGACGCGGAGTGTGCGCCGTCGAGTACGTTTGACGTGAGGTCGGATAGGCAGAGGCGGCCGACACTAGGCAGAGGCGGCCGACACTAGGCAGCATTGGATTGGTGCCGCCTCGCTGTACTGTTGTGTTTCCACGGGAGGCACCTAGCGCATCATCCGGAATGTGCGACAGCGCCAATGCAAACTCGTGCGGCGTGTGCGCGGGCGTGAGGGGCGGTGCCCCAGGGTAGCTGCTCTTTCCTCGGTCGCCGGGTGCTCGGCCCAGAGTGTTATATCATCATCATCCTAAGCCCGCGCTCATCTCGCAACGAGAGACGAAAATCGAAATGGCTCTCTGTCTCCCCTACGCGCTGATACGGCTTTTAGGGATCCGGGACACAGCTACGGCTTTAAGGTGCGCAAGGCCCGCGCGCCGCGGCTCCGCCACACCTCCGTCGCCGACGATCAAGCGAGGTTCATCGGCCCCTGGGCGGCGGTGCCTCCCGCCCCCAGCAGCCCGCGCGCCCGTCGCTGGCTCAACGCCTCCGAGTACTCCGTCGCCGGCGGCAACGCCTTCCCCTTGGCCGCGCCCTCCTGGCGCACGCGCTTTGCCGCCCACTTCCGCCCCGCAGCCTCGCACACGTCGCGCAAGTCGCGACCTGATGCGCCGTCCGACGCCGCGGCGAGCGCGCGCTGGTCGGCGGCCGGCAAGTGCGCGGCGTAGAGCTGCAGGATCGCCTCGCGCGTGCTCGCGTCCGGGAGAGGGAATCGGACGGCGAGCTCGAAGCGCGACGTGAGGGCGGCGTCCAGTCCTGCGGCCTGTTTGTCGCGGCGATGAGGATGGTGGAGGCGTTCGGGTCGAAACCGTCGAGGCGGCGCAGCAGCACCGAGAGCGAGCGGCGCGTGGCCTCGTGCATGCCTCCGGGCGCGTCGCGGCTCGTCGCGAGCGCGTCGATCTCGTCCATGAAGATGACGCTCTCGCCCATCTCCGCCGCCGCGTCGAAGACCGCCGCCAAGTTGCGCTCCGCCTCGCCGTACCACTTGGAGACGACCGACTCGAGCGGCAGGACGAGGAAGGGTCGGCCTAGCAGCTTCGCGAGGATGCGCGCCGTCGACGTCTTGCCGCCGCCGGGAGGGCCTAGTCAGTATTGAAGGGACGCTGAATGAAGGCGCGCTTATTTAGCAGCAAATGCCAAATCCGGAAGGGCCCTCGAAGAGGATGGACCGAGCGTGCGGCGGCTCCCCCTCCTTGCGGCGGGTGCCTCGCATCACCTCGCTGTACACCTCCGGGTGGCGGAGGGGCAGCACGAGGCTCTCCTATAGGATACAAGAACGGCACCGTGTGGTCTATGATAGCGCAGTGGCGGAGGGCAGGCACGCGGCTCTCCTCGAGGGCCGCTCGCACCTCGCTGCTGCCTGCGAGACTGCCCCACTCGGGTTAGGGTTAGGGCTAGGGTTAGGGTGAGGGTTAGCTGCTGCCTGCCAGGCTGCCCCACTCGGCGTCGCAGCGCGCGTCGCTCGCCGCCGCCTCCCCCGCCTCTCCCCCCGCCTCCCTCGCCCCCCCCGCCTGCCCCTCCCCCCCCTCGGCCCCAGGGAGGATCACCCGCACGCCGAGAGCCTCGAGTCGCTCAGCCGGCGGAGCCGCCGCCGCCTCGCCGCACCATGCCGCCGCCGCCCATGCCGCCGCCACCGATGCCGCCGCCCATGCCGCCGCCCACCACCCCGCCGCCACCGATGCCGCCGCCGTCGCCCGCGCCTCCGCCGCGCTCCTCGAACGGGCGGATCACGTCGCCGAAGAAGGACGAGAGCATGCGCGACAGCACCGGGTCGAGGCCCTCGATCTCCGCCTCGACATCGGACGGCGCACCTCGGCCGGCGAGCGAGCGGCCGCCTGCCCGCGCGCTGCCCGAGAGGCACTCGGCGAGCGCGCGCACCTCCTTTGGCCGGAAAGCCGGACAGCCGCCCGCCGGCGCCGCAGGGCCGAGGATCTCGATCTCGGTCGCGCCACGGTGCACAAAGATGGAGAGTAGCGGCGCCTGGCCGGCGGCGCCGCCGATCGAGGCGTCGCTCAGGCTGATGGACTCGCCAGCGCCGGAGTGGGCCTCGGCAGACCATGACACGTTCGGGGCGCAGTCGACGAATGGGAGGAGGAGGGCGCAGTTGACATTGTCGTGTCTGACTCAGAGGAGGAGTTGGAGGTGCAGCCATGGGTGCTCCGGCAACCTAACCTGATCCAGAAGCTCGCCGACGTTGTCACTCAACGTGCGTCATGCGTGATCGAGCTTGAGGGAGGAGCTCAGCTAACGCTTCGGCCGGCCCCCCAGCGCCGCCGCCCACCGCCACCCACAAAGCACCTGCTCTACTATCCCGTACCTGGCTGGCTGACGCTCACCCCCCCCGCTCCACTTGCCCCTGATCATGCCCGTGATAGCACCATCACTGTCGCCGTCCTGGTTTTGAACGTGGCAGCTAGACTCGGAAGATCCGCTCTCGGTCGGCAACGTGGCAGCTAGTCGAGGAACTCGGTAGTTGTGACCCCCCTGCCTGAGTGAGGAGCAGGAGAGAGAGCTTTTGTGGTGTTGGTGTACGCAATAACCGCAGGGTGGTTGTCTCTCTATCTCCTCTTCTAGCTCTTAGCATGAGCTGCGCCCTGTGTCCGACCCCTTTTGCGCAGCAACACCTTAAACTTTTCAGGCCCTCCAAATTCGGGTCGGAGCGTAGCGGAGTGGGCCCCGAGTTTGAAAAGGGCGACGGACGCTTGCGTCCTAGCCTCCAACAACGCCTCCCCGGCGCAGAGGGGCCCCCGGAGGGATGCACAACCGCTCCACGCCACGCCGCTTGCGGCGGTCCTCTTCCCAGCTCCGCTGAGGGCCCCTGCGTTATTTATTTATTTAGTCGTTTCGATTCACCAATCACCATCCCATAGGCCCCGACTCGGCAATTCGGCGGCCATCTCGTCGCACTCCCAGGTGCACGCGCGCTCTCCATATCTTTCTCCGCCCCTGCTGCAACCGGTGCGGACTGATTGGCTCTAGGTTACCAATGATTGAAGGTATCAAGGACGAGCCCACTCGTGGCGGGCTCGGTACCAAGCGGGTGCTCCTTTTCACTGCAGTCGTCGGTGCGAGCGTGCGACTCACACGCGTGTGCATTCCGTCTTCTCGTCCAGATCGCGCTTGCACCGTCTCCCCTGCAATTTCAATCTCCAATGTCTCAGCAGCCTCGAGTCGACACGATGGACGCAATGCCCCGCATCCATCAGCCAATTGCCCATCACACTCCCTTCGCTTCAGCCGGCACGGGGACCGCACCAAACCTCTGCTGTCACCCCTCCAGGGTGCCTCGCGCTGGCCGGCTCTCTCGCCATGCACGCCTCTGCCCCCGCCCCGGCGCTCAAGCGGGACAGCGGCCTTACCTCTCCTTCGACGACCGAGAAGCAGCTCAGCATGATTGGTGTGGGGCAGTTCCAAGACGCTACCTGCACCCCATCCGCCTTGCGCCTTCTGGCCACGTTGGCTCTGCTGACATGATCCTAGGTGTAGACCCGGCCACCACCGAAAAAATCCTCAAGCTGTCGGCGCGGCCGGAGGAGAAGTTGGACAACCCGTTTCCGCTCGATTGCATCGAGGAGGGCTACAAGGAGACCATCTACGATAAGCTGCCCATCGAGTACGAGCTCCCCATCTTTGGCACGGTTCCGATTCGATGCAAGATATGCAAGTGCTCCCGCGGGCTCTTCGACTTTTTGGGCTAAGTGCGCACCCCCCTTGCCTCTCCCCCGCCTCTCGCACTTACTAGCCCAACCTTCCCACATTGCACATACGCCAGCCAACCCTTTCGCACCAGCCTGCCCCAACGCAGCAACGCTCGCTATGATCGCTCACTCTGCCCTTGTTTGTGCCCCGCTGCAGGTGCTCTGGCCTCACTGTCGCGGCGAGCGGCCGGCGGGTCACGGCACGGCGAGACATGCCGCAGCACGGTTCGACCCGGGGCCCGCCATGTCGAGCTCGCCGACAGATTGCGGTGTCGGGCGGGGAGGGTCGACGGTCACCGGCTTCGGGCGTTCCCGCCCGGTCTCCCGCCGCGACCGCCGCCCAGATAGAAATAAAACTCGCTTGTCGCTACTCGGGACGCATGTCCGGACTGTGCTGTAATCTCGAGCCGGTCGAGGCTGTAATAACACCTTTGATTCCGCAGAGGTTCCCTAAACGAGGGGGGGGACAGGGTCCCCACCCCTAGATCATCATCATGATCGTTCGGCACGTCCGACAGCTGTTTGCGTGCTGCGACCCACCGACACGGCAGCGCCAGACCTAGATGCCATGTCGAGGAGCGTCTCAAACGCAGCCAGGCAGTGCGTGCGCTCTGCGGCCAACTCAATGGGGCTCCCCCGGCCTCACGCCCTGCGACCCTTGGCCTTGCGGCGAGCGGCAGCGAGGAGGAGGGCGCAAGCCGGCTCCGAGGCAGTGACGGACAGGCATGCCGCCGCAGGCGTCGTTGGCAGCCAGCCCTGCCTTGAAGCCTGTGCCTGCGCGGAGCAGCTACTATTGAACCCCCATCTGCGCCTGCGCCACAGAATGTAGAGCGTTTTGTTGAACGCGTGTTCCTTTCATTTCTCTCAAGCTACCCACGCAGTGACCGCGATCCTGTCCGCCTTGGTGGGCAGCACCTCGTGCACCATCGCGCCGCTCAGCAAGCAGAGCAGCCGCCCGCCGATCGGCGGGATGTCCATCGTGCTGCCGGCCGTGCCCCTCGCCCCCTCCGGCCTGGCCTTCAGCCCGGTCGCATTCTCGCAGTCGGCCCTGGTCAGCCGCAAGCAGCCCTCGCTCGCCTCGACCCAAGTAGAGTTGCAGTACAGGATGCAGGTCACCTTGCGCTCGCGGCTCTCTGGCCGCGGGTCTGCGGTCGCCTCTGTGTGCCGCCGGTACCGCGCCTGCTTGCCCCCAGAAAAGTGGGCCAGCTGCACCTCCAGCCGGCTGCCGACGCCCTCCATGAGCTCGCCGAGGTCGACCGCCAGGGCGTCGAATCGCGGCAGGACGCGGTCGCCGGTCCCGCGCAAAGACACGTACACCGTTGGTCGGGGTCGTCAGACACGGAAAACAATGAACAAAATTAAAAGGAGCAGTGAACGGAGTGCGCTCAGGAGCAGCACAGCCACAGCAAGTGCCACAGCGGCACAGAACACCATGATTCATCTACTCACTGTGGGTGGCCCACTCGCAACAACTGTGTCGCCATCAACATGCACTGTTCCGCCGTGAGTGAGTGCTTCCTCTACGTCTGCGCGTGATGCGCCGACCAGCAGCGCCCCCATCTTTGTAACCAGCTCGCCACCTTCACCGCCGCCCTCACTGCCGCCAGCTCCGCCGGCAACCTCAGAAGCAGCCTCGCCGCCGGTCCCACTGTTAGCGGCGGTAGCGGCGGCGGCGGCAATGGCGGTGCCGATGGCCTCGCCGCTGCCAGCCTCGCCGCCCGCGGCTGCCAAAAGGCGCTCGATCCAACGCCGCGCCTCGGGGAGTGAGCGCGTAGCCACCGCCTCCCGGAGCAAGTCGCGCGCGCGACAGAGTTCGGTCCGCAGGATGGCAAGGGTGGAGGCGGTGACCATGCCTCCGAGGTCTCTGGTCGGCTCGAGCGGGTCCTCAATCGCAAAGTGCTGCGCTGCGCGCGGGTCGAAGCATGGGCGAGAGGAGAGCGGCTGCAGCCCTCCGGCGGAGACGCACGCAGCGAGGGCCAGGCCAGCCGGCGATCGGTCCGACAGCAGCTGCAACGCGGTGTCGAAGAAGTTGGTGAGCAGCAGCGGGAGTCTCGGCGCGGGGAACGGGGCCGCCTTCCAAAACTTGCGCGCGGCGGCGGCGTTTCCGCAAAAGGAGTAGCTCACGGCACGGCCATCGGGCGTCCGCGCGGTATTCGCGACCAAAGCCTGCTCGAGCTGCCACGGAGGAGCCAGCCCTTGGAGGTTGGGCAGCTGCCCGAGGTGCTGCAGGTGGCAGATGGCGAGAAGCGACCACGCGTAGCTCGACGGGAAGCAGTGCCGCGCCGAGCATACCCGCCGCGCCCTTGCCCACGCCTTGACCAGCAGGCAGAGCTGCCACGCACACTCGTCCACCTCCATGTACGTGCGAATCAGCCGCGTGTTGTCGAGGGCGATGACGTTCCCGACCGAGACGTCGACAACAAGATCCGAGGTGAGGACCAGCGGCGCTCCCGCAGGCGAGGACAGGTCGCTCGGGAAGGTCATTGTGCAGATCGGGACTCGCGCGGCGAGCACCGCCGTCGCCGTGACGCCTGGCACTGAGCCAAACGCGTCCGCAATGTCCGACAACAAGCGGCGCTGCAGCTCCGGCGGCAGCTCGAGCAGCACTGTCAAGTCGATGTCAGATGCGGAGCTGCCGAGCAGCGATGTGGCACTCCCGTAGGCGAGGACCAGCGGCGCTGGACTGTGTAGCCGCGCCGCATTTAGCGCCACCAGCTGCGGCGGCGCCGAGGCGAGCCACGAGCGGCAGAAATGATCTAGCTGCGGGACGGTGCGCGAGAAGATCTTGTCGCGGCGGTCTCTCGCGTACCCACTCGGAGGCTCAAGCCTCGCGCGCGCCTCAAGCGCCCTGCCACACCAGATCGGAGTCCGCTGGCCGGCGGCGGCCTCCGTCGCACTACTCGACCCGTGCGCGCCGTCCTCCATGCGCTTGATCGCAACCACCGCGCCGCCCGCCGCGCGCAGCTTGCGCATCCCCTGCTCGCGCAGCTGCTGGGCCTGCGCACCGGGGCGGGGAGCGGGTGGGGAGCGGGCGGGGAGCGGCGAGGCGGCGTGGCGCTATGGCGGCCTTCTCCGCCAGCTTGGCGGCCTTCCTCTCCGCCTTGGTCGACGGCTTTTTCTTTCCCGCCGTTGTGCCTGTGGCGGCGGTCGAATCCGCCGCCCGCTCGGCCTGCCTTCCGCTCTCGAGCGCCGCCGCCACTTTCTCGTGATACGCCTCCCCTGCCGCCGCCGCCGCCGCCGCCGACGCCACCACTTCCTCCGCGGCCGCCTCGGATGATGGGGCTGACATCGGGCCGAGCTCGAAAGGCACCACCCGGTTGATCCCCATCATCGAGGGTTGATCCCCATCATCGAGGGTTGTCCCCCATCACCCGTGGTGGTGGAGAGCGGCGGCGGTCGAGAAAAAGCACGACTTGAAGTAAGATTCTGAAGTTGGGCCCTCGGATTGGCCTTCTGAGCGACGATATTCTCGCGTGCTTTGAGGAGGCGCTCGGCGATCGGCTGCCAGAGATGGGCACGGATGCTGCAGCCGGGCGAGAGGCGAACGCCGAGCTGAGGGAGGGTGTAGAGGATGTAGAGTGTAGACTGAGGGAGGGTGTAGAGGATGTAGAGTGTAGAGCGCTGTAGAGCTGTAGAGCTGTAGAGCGCTCTGGAGCGCTGTAGAGCTGTAGAGCTCTACATCCGGCGCTGGACGATGTGAGTCCGATGTAGAGCGATGTAGAGGCGCTCTACAACGTGAAATCTCTACAACAAACTCTACATCATAAGTGGCGAACCAGGCACGGTCGCTCTCCGACATGAGGCGCGTTGCACTTGCCAGTGCTGCCCTGGCCTTCTGTCTGCCCGCCCAATGGGTGGCAGGTGCCTCTGCTGCTGTGGCATGCCTCACGGCTGCGACTGGCCGGCGCCTCGGCGCGTCAGCTCGGCTCGGCGTAGCGATAGTGGCCAGCGCAACTCGCCTGGACTCAACGCTCAGCCAGGAGCTCCCGCACGCGCTGGCGTCATGGCGCGCATGCAGCGCGTCTGAATGCTCGCCTCTCGCCTCGCGCAAATGCGACCGTCCTCGCAGCCGACAGTCCACCGCCTGCTAAAGAAGCACAGCGACGAATGCGGCACCGGCGACGCATGGCAGGCTGGTCATGACGCAGTTATAGGGTGTTGTGTACCGTCGGAGTGACTCTCTGTGTGTCAGGGATAGTCAGGGCCGTCCACCAGAGCTCCAGTAAGCTCGGAGACACCCCATTAGCGCGGCTCGACCTCTTTGAGTCACTGCCTTCCCGGCGCGTTGGCTGTAGAGCCTCTACAACCAACTCTACAGCAAAATCGCGCTCTACATCGCTCTACAACGGAGGCGCTTCGTCCCGCGCCGGATGTAGAGCTGTACAGCTCTACAGCGCTCTCCAGCTCTACAGCTCTACAGCGCTCTACACTCTACATCCTCTACACCCTCCCTCAGACGCCGAGAGTGCGGAGGCCGCACGGCGACTGGAGGCTGCAGCGGAGCGTCAGCGGGAACATTCCCTGCTCGCACCGACTGCGGGGCGCGGCGCTGAGCCGGTGCTGCCAGACCCGGTGCCTATGCTGCCTACGAATTCCAGTGGAGGGCGCAGGCAGATCGTGCGGTCAGCGGGTCGGCAGCCAAGCGCATTCTCGCGCGGCGCAGCGAGGCGGCGCGAGCGACGCTCGTGATGCGGGGCAAACAAATGGGGACAGAGGAGGAGGATGGCGAGTACGACTTATTCTGAAGACACAGGCCAAAATCAAAAAAAGAAATCCATCACGTGCACTCACTGTCGCCCGGCGATGAGAGCCCAGCGAGTTATTGCCCTGCTCCCTCTGCTCGCGCAGCCGACCGCCGCCTGGAGGCCGCTGCTGACGCGGCGTCAGCTCTCCGTGGCGATTTTATCCGCCGTGCCCTTACCGGCAGCCGCCAACGGGCTAGGTAATGAGCTCGGTCAGCTGGTCTCTCCCGTCCTCGATGCAGGCAAGCAGCCGTCCAGCATGCAGGCGGACGCCGAGGCCGCGGTCGATCGCATCAAACGAGAAGGCCTCATCGTCACGACCGGCAAGGAGGTGCCGGCTCCTCTCATTGCCTTTGTCGTTCTCGGAGGCGCAGCCGCTACGGCGTCATTTGTGTTCGACCGGCGAGGTGGTGCGGTGGGTCCGGAGGCGGCGCCAGCCGAGGAGGGTGAGCCGTGGGTCTCGAGCTTCGCCGCTCCGCCCGACGCAGCGTGCGAGGACGAGGAGGAGTGTGTCTTGCCCGACATGGATTAGGAAGTCATTGGATGTGCATGTACGGCGGTTGGATGTGCATGTACGGCTTACTCGTGTGCCGTGTGGCACGTGAGCTGCCTCGCTAGGGGGGCGATATGTTTTATGACAACATACTTCAATACGTGTCATGGGTGTCACTACTCTCGCACAGACACAGCTTTGAGCTTAACCGCGTGCCACACACACAAGCCCCGCCGCGCGCGAAGAGCTGCGTCCTATCCTCCTATGTGCTCTAAAATGACCTAGAGGGTGAGGAGGGTGAGTTGACCAGGGGTTGTGCGCTGGGCCCTCCTGCTCGGCTCCAGAGAGTAGACAAGTCTTGTCATCAACAGAGGAGAAGGATCTGACCTCGGGGCCGATGTGACCAAGCGCTGGTAGCGTGGTTTTACCTCCCATGGTCTCACAGTGTGCCGGCAGTCGCCGAGCAGTGTCGCTCACACAAGCCGCAGCACAAGTGACTGAGGGCCAGTGAGGGCGAGCCCATCGCTGTCACAGCTGTGGCAGCCGCACAGTAGGCTGTGCCAACTGTGCAGAGCGTGTGAGCAGCAGAGGAGCTGCTCTCCAGGCTTCAGGCGCAAAGAGCTGCATGCCACCGAAGGCGCTGTCGAGAGTCGAGGTTCGCCGAGCGCGGCGCAGGTTGGAGGAAGCCGTCACCGACGAGCGCGTTGGACTTTTCACTCCGGACAAAAAACGCGGCACAGCGGACGGTGCGGGGCGTGCCGCAAACTTAGCGGCGAGGCGCGGGACCGTCTGTGGCGAAGTGGGTCGCGTCCTCCGATTTCCGTCAACTCAGCATCCACACCCCGTATACGTCGTACGCACTACGACGGCTTTGCCATTTACCGCTCTAGCGTCTCGGGTCTCGCGTGTGGGCGTGTGCGTGTATAACACGTGCGCGCACCCCTCTAGATCTGCGTCTCTCACATAGTACTCTCACATATAGTACCGCAGGTGCCCCAACTGAACTCCGATGCCGGGCTCTACAAAATTTGCACACTGTGGGCTACGTACGCCACCCTCCTAGACACGGACACGGCCACTCCACAGTGCTCGTCCCGGGTGTCCATCACGCATCAGACACCGCTCGTTGGCCTCCGGGGCCCCCGCATTCAACACATCCACTGACTGAAATCCCAGCACCAACACCAACAAACCAAGATTCGACATTCGTGTGTTGGCCTCTCAGCCCCCCCACACAGCACACTCACTCACACACATAAACGTACCGACCGTCTCCCGCTCGACCAGCCAGAAGGCCGAGCGAGGGTGATGAGGCGACGAGCCCCACCACAAAACGGAACATCAGGCGATTAACCCTATCTCGCAGGGACCTCGTAATAAATAGAGCAAGCATCTCGTAAACAAACCGCCCCAATCCACAAGAACTTGTTGCTCGCCGAAACGCGCCGGCCCAAAAGGGCGTACCGTCCAGCGGCACACAAAGCAGGTGCTGCAGGGTGCAGCACAGACGGTCCAGCCAAGGTGGCATATTAGCAGGCGTGCTCGGCTCCGCCAGGGCTAGTCACCGGATGTCGAAGCTTGTGTGGGGGCGGGAAGACTCGCCGCATTGTCAGTGGAAGGTATTCAATGGGACGGATCCCGCAGTGAGCATCGAGTTCATGGTCATTCTACTCCGAGTCCCGGACCGGGTGGCAGTCTTTAAGGACAACATGGCTCGCCTGCCCAGGCTCAGGTCCTTGTCGGCGGTGGATGCGAGCAACGAGGTGCGCACTTGGTCTCTCGCCTTGACACTGAGAGCGTCCCTGGCGCAAGAGCCGGGCCTCTCCACCCGTTGCGCCCTCTCCCTTTTCAGGCCCATTTTTGGAAGGCGTTCAACGAGCAGCAGATCCGCTTTGTCGACACGATGTTATTCGACTCGCTCTCGCTAGGACCTACGGCGCTCCACCTCTCGCGCATCAAGGCGCTACGCTGGCAGGTTGACCACAACGTCTCCTGGCTCGTCATGATGGAGGACGACGTCGCTGTGCGGCCCGGTTTCACCAAGCAGGTGCCCCCGACTGCCACCTCTTGGGGCCACACTCCGCTTCCCCGCTGCTGCCCTCCCGCTCCACCCACCGCCGCCGTCCATGCGCTTGCCGCTCTCCGTCCGCTACCCACCGCCGCCGATTACCGCTCGCCCTTCGCCGCGGCAGATCGAGACGCTGGCCAGCAGCTTGGAGGCGTCGGGCTCCACGGCCAACATTGCGCGGCTCGGCATCTGGGGCGAGCTCTACCTGGTGCCGCTCGCGGGTGCAAAGGCGATCCTCTGCCGCTACTGCCAGTCGGGCATGCTGCTCGGCTCAGACAACCAACTGCGCATGCTGTCGGGACCGGAGTGCGCCTCCCCGCCGGCGGACTTTCCGCCGCCGATCGGCTCGCCCTACAAGCTGAGGGCACAGCCTGGGGCGGGACACAACCACGACCGAGACGTGACACGGCGGGCCGCCCGCTTGGGCGGTGTCGGGAACCATACCGTCTGGCTCGGCACCATCTCAAGACAATTCCAGGAGCGGGCGCGCGTCGAGATGAAGCGCTTTCCGGCGCAGCCGCGCTGGTGCCGCCGCCTCGGGAGCAGCTGCCGGTTCGGCGTGCCCCTCGACAACATATCGCAGCGCCTGTACGACGGCTGGCGCGTGGGCACCTGCGAGCAGCATACGCGGCAGCGGCACCCGGAGCACTTTAGTTGCAGCGAGGAAGCGAAAGGGCTCACGTCGCCTCCAGCCGCTTCGGCGACGCCCGCTCTGTGGGCACCCTTTGCACCCAGATGGGCCGCCTCGCGCCACGGCGCGAGGGCGCTCTCGGTGTCGCGGGTAGCGCCCAGCTCTGGGGCGGAGCGCCCAGCTGCAGCTCCGGGAGCCAGGCTCGGCGAGTATCTCTGGCGGTTCCTCCTGCCATTCATGGAACTGCTGCCGGGGGAGGTGCGCCGAGGTGAGGAGTAAGGTAAGGGTAACCTTCGGTCGCCGAGGAGGATGAGCGATGAAAAAGTTGTTCTACACGTCGAGCGTGCACTCTTGGAGCACTTGGAGTGCAGTCCATGGCCGGGTCGCTAAGAAGAACACTGTATATCTTTTTTTCGGCGATGTGCCCACACATGCGCATGTGCATGTGCATGTGCATGTGCATGTGCATGCACATGCCGCTCCTCGCCACTGCTCTCACTGCCTTGGGGCCTTCGTCTGGACGCGCTGCCCCGGCGTTTCTCATACACCAGCATCCGAGAGGCGCTGGCTCGGCGCTCCTCTGCGCCAATGCCACGCTCGAAGCACCGAGGAAGCCGCGCGTGGTCACTCGCTTCTTCACGCTCCGAGTTGCGTCGCTCACCGCCGGCATTGTCGGCGCCTTTGCATCGGCGTTTGTGGTTGTCGAGGGCTGGCCGGTGGTCGACGCGCTCTACTTTACGGCGACCACGTTTGCAACCATCGGCTTCGGAGACCTGAAGCCTGTGCGTCCTGCAGGGCGCCTGCTGACGAGCATGTGCGGCGTCGCTGGTGTCGGTGAGCCACGCCTCCGCCGCTCTCTGTCCTGCCTTGCTCACAGCGCACAGCCTATCCTTCCCGCCACCAGGTCTACTCGGCGGGCTGGTGAGCGCGACTCTGGCAGCGTGGCGCGAGGAGTTCGAGGAGGAGGAGGCTGGTGAGCGCTCCGCCGCGCCGTGGCTGCGGCCGTGGCAGGGGCTGCTCGCGCTCTTCTCGCTCGGCGTGGTCGGCTTCAAGCTGAGCGAGGAGCACCGCCCTCCGGACGAGGCGGCAGCAGCCAACCGGCTCCACTCCCCGGCGCTGTGAGTAGGGCGCGTCGTGGTCTCGCGCGGCCTACCTCATCATCGGCGCCCTCCCCCGCCTGCGGGCCAGGGGAGAGAGGGGCGTGTCACGACCGCCGGCATGCCCGCAGGCACCCTCTCCACGGCCGGACTCGGCGACGTCGTCCCGACCACCTCCGCCGCCAAGCTCTTCCTCGCCTGCTACGCGCCGCTCGCCGTCTGCGCCTTTGCGCGCGCCGTCGGCGCAGCCAGACTGCAGACCAGGGGCCCCGCTGGCCGAGATCACCTCGAGATCGGACCGAGACCACTAGGCGCCGTCGCGCTTCGGCCGCTCGACCGCGCTCGCCGCCGCGCACAGCGCGCGGTGCTCGAGCGGTACCGCGGGCGCCTCACGCCGCGCACGTTTGACGAGGCGTCTGCTCCCAGCCGGCAGAGGGAGGGAGGTCGGGTCTTGGACCCTCGTGCTGGTTCGCGTAGGTTTGCTCCGGCCCTCTGGTCCAGAAGCTCGGCCTGAGCGACAACGACGCCACGTGCACGCGCGACCAGTTCACGCTGCTGACGCTAGTCATGCAGGGCAAGGCGCGGCCTCGCCCCTCGTCCTTGCCGCCGCTGCCGCCACCTCTCGCCACGTCTCGCCGCCTCCGCAAACCGGACAAGCCCGCACTCGAGCCCGCCTCCAGCCACTGGGCTCCATCCCCCCGCCATTCCGCGACTCTCAAGGTGAGCGAGCGGGACTTGGACGAGTGCCGCGCCGCCTTCGCCGCCCTCGACGCGACGCGCAGTGGCCGCCTGACGACCGAAGACCTCGAGGCGTGGCAGCAGGCGCCGCGGCTCGAAGTCCCCCCGTCCCCCCTCCTGCTAGACCTCTCCTCGACCTCTCCTCGACCTCTCCTCGACCTCTCCTCGACCTCTTCTCGACCTCTCCTAGACCTCTCCTCGACCTCTCCTCGACCTCTCCTCGACCTCTCCTCGACCTCTCCTCGAGCCTTCCTCCAGGCGCGGCAGCTCCGAGTCGAGTCCTTCCTCTACCGGCGGCGCGTGCGGAAGCTGGCGCGCCTCGGCGGGGCATTGGGACCGACACACACCGCCACCGCCACGTACGCCACCCCTCTGCACACCCTCGACACCCCTCGACACCCCTCCACGCCCCATCGACAGACACCGCCCCTTGACATCGCCCCACCCCTCCCCCTCCGCACGCTGACCCCAAACACGCTGCCTCAAAGACGCTGACCCTACCAAAAGGTGCGGTGGGCGAGCTCTGCGCCGCTCGAGTGGCTGCAGTCCGGCCTGGCCAGCCGCAGGGAAGGCGCGTCGGCGGCGGCGGCGGCCGACGCGCTCGCCCAAGGCAAGAGTGCGGAGCAGGCGGCGGCGGCGGCGGCGGAGGCATCGCTGCCCCCCCGGAGCGCCCGTACTAGCCGTGTCACTGAGTTCTCAAGTTCTGCTGATGTTGATGTGGATCGTATCGCAAACGAGTGAGCTCAATATCCGAATGAGCGCGTGTGTGCGAGTCTTTGGCGGTACGGCTTTATATCGGAGACCGGTCCCCCCTCTGCGCAGTGCGCTGCCGCTCGTCTGGGAGTCTGGGACTGGGTCCCCTGACGGCCCTGTGCCTGTGTGCTGTGAGCTGTGGTGTGTTATGGAATCACGACCCGGAGTAACTCTCCCTCTCCCAAAAACGCTACATACATGCACATGTGCATGTGTCTCTGTGCTGCACGTGGGCACGTGCAGGTGTTGAGGCCTCGACGACGCTCGAGGTAAAAGTGTCGACCCGCCCCTGCCACGAACACGAATGTGCGCGGTGTGCGCGGGTTCACACCATTGGGGGCAGCGCGCCTCCCACGCTCGCCTTGTCATTGGCCGTGTTGCCTGCGCTGTCGACCAGCGACATCAGCTCCCCGTACGAGTAGAGGCCGTAGACAATCCAGACGAGGGGCGACACAAACTCCACCGCGCCGGGCGTGACTCTGTGTGAGGGAGCACAGATGCGGCGTCAGTCGCGCTGTGGGGCCGCCGGTCGTCGATGGGATCCGCAAGAGAGGAGGACACACCCACGCGCAGAATAAAAGCCGTCCGCCCGCATGAACTCCTCGAAGCGCTCCGGGTACTGGAAGGTGACGGCCCAATAGGGGATCCCCTGAGAGACGCCGCCGACCACAAAGAACAGGGCGGCGCGCGAACAGTACACCGCCTCAAGGCCACCAACAGGCACGCGCCGCGACGGGCTGAGGGCGATTCTCGCGAAAAAGACACCCATCAGAAGCATCAGAAAGATATGGATAGCCATCATGTTGCACATCGCCTTGGTGTCGATGTCGTCTGGCGCACCAGGCAGCGCACAGGCGCAGATGCCGGAGCCGCCGTAGAAAACAGTGTCGGTGGCCTGAACGAATCCGACCCCGTGCGCGAGGCAGAAGACGGCGGCGAAGATCGTAACAAAGCCGACTGACAGACCCGTCTTGCGTTTGGCTCGCAGGATCTCGAGCGCAAACGGCATGACGATGAACGGCTCCCAAGGCCAGATCGGGAAGAGGAGGGCGAGGAGCTGGTTGAAGAGGCCGACGAGAGTCACCTACGGCTCCCAAGGCCAGATCGGGAAGAGGAGGGCGAGGAGTTGGTTGAAGAGGCCGACGAGAGTCACCTGGTCCTCAGCGACGCCGGTCGAGTTGAAGGCGGCGGTGTCGTTGAGCATAGACATACATTGAACGCCTGGGGGGGTACGAGAGTCCTGGTATGTGAGGGAGCGGCGAGTAGAGCTCTATTCTCGGAAACGATCTGGGCGGCGCTGTCGGTGAACCTTCTTTTCTACCAGGCTAGGATTGAGAGCAGCCTCGCTCTCAATCCTAGAAGTCGAAGGATTGTGAGCAGCACTCCTCGCAATCGTAGCATCTCTGTGCGATGGTGAGCACCCACGCTCGCAATCCTACGTCTTCGCTAGGACTATCTATGAGCAGCTCCGCTCACAAGGTGACTGGTGACGCCTACGACTACTACCAGCGCGCTCGCAATGTGAGCAAACACTAGGGTTGCGAGCAGCTTAGCTCACAATCCTAGCAACATGCCTCCGATTGCGAGGTTCTAGAATTCGATCGAGTTTGTTGTGTATTTCCAACTAGCAGGTTGGCTCGCTAGTCGCTCGCCGGCCCGCGCAGCACGCGCGGGCCTTTTTTGTGGTCGGATGTTGGTCGTCTCGAATTTGATCGTGGGCAGGGCGTGAGAAAGCTGGACGGCTCGGTCGATGCGAGCCACCAGCTCGTGAGCGACGGGCGCGACGGGTTCCTCGGCGTAGGCTTGGGCGTGGTGAGCAGCGCCGGCGAGAGAGGGACGGCATGCGGCTCCCAAACGAGCCGCACGGGCTTCATCTGGGCCGCCGAGGCCACCTCCTTGGTCGCGGTGGCGGGCGTGAAGGCGAGGTGGGCCGAGGCAAGCGCTGAACGTGCCGTGCCGCCTTGCGCCCCTGAGGAGGGACGAGTGTGTGGGGTGCCACGGGCGGGGGGGAGCGGTGAGAGGAGAGCGGTGGGCACCCCCACGAGGGGCTGCGCTGACGCCGCCTGCCACCCCACGCACGCCACTGACGCTGTGGGGGCGGCACGATCGAACGCGCTGGTCGGGCGGGCCGTCTGAGTCGCCCAAGCGGTACTCTGCCGGCCGGTGGACGCGAGGGTGGCCCAAGAGGGCTCAAAGTACGGAGCCGATACCCGGCCGTCCCGGACGCCTGGCACGCGGGCCAATGGTCCAGCGGTCCTGTGCATGGCTGGAGCGAAGGAGGGAGAGCTCAGGAGGGCGACGGGGCAGGGAAGGGGGCGATGCGATGCGGCGAGGTCTAATCGGCGGCGTGGAGAGAGGAGGTGCCAAAAGGCGACTATAAAGAGGCCTCTACGGGTGATATAGTGCGCCATGCCGGCGGGAGAGGTCTCTCACCGCCCCCCGGGCCGTCTCGAAGGGCCGTGCAGCCCACGCCACGAGGCGCTGCTGGCGGGAGCCTGGAAGGACTTGGCCTCGTTGCACCGCGCCGCGTTGATTCGCGACCACCGTCGGCCGCGGACGGCGTCGGCGTGGCGGCCGCGGGCGCTCGCGAGACGCGCCGCTCTGCGCTGGTTCGGTTCGTTCGACTCGTTGTGCCGCCGCACGCCCGGCGGCCGCGGGTCCCAGAAGTGGTTGCGCGGGCCTCTTCCTTTCGGCCGCGGGACGGCGTCGGGCACGTCGTCGGTCGCAACAGCGGCGCGGCGAGCCGTGGCACGTCGTTGCTGGCGCTGGTGGTTTGAGGTCGGCATCGTCCAGAGCTCGGTCGACGAGTCGAGAGCATCAGCTGGTTCGGTGCCATGTTTGTGCGGAAAGTGGCAAAGATCTCTTTGATTCTTTTGAGCTGCTCGATGGAGGCGCGGGAACGAGACGAGCCTCAGACGGCGGCGGCTGCAGACGGCCGGGCAGGGGCGGTCGGCGCTTCGTCGGGCGCGGCAGCGGCAGCTGTGGACGCGCCGCTGCTCGGCCAGCGAGTCGAGCTCGGCGGGCTCTCGGCCCGACCCGAGCTGAACGGGAAGCGGGGCGTGGCTCAGAGCTTCGAGGGCGGGCGGTACGCGGTGGCGCTCGAGGGCGGCGGCGAGAGCGTGCGCGTGCGGCCGGGTAATCTGTCGCCGGCGGCGGCGGCGGAGGGGGCGCCGAGCGGTGCCGCTTCAGTCTCCGATGAGGTAGTGACAGCAGCTGAGCAAGGCGACGAGGCAGCGGTGCTGGCGTGGCTCGGCAGTGGCGGGCGGGCCGACGCGACGTACGAGAGAGGCGGCTTGAGCAGCCGCACGCTGATGATGGCCGCCGCCAGCAACGGCCACGAGCGGGTGGTCGATTTGCTGATTCGGCACGGCGCAGAGGTCAACCTGCAGAGCGACGGCTGGGCCGCGCTGATGTTCGCCGCCACCAACGGCCACGAGCGGGTGGTCGACTTGCTGATACGGCGCGGGGCGGAGATCAACCTGCAGAGTAGCAGCGGCGGCACCGCGCTTATGCACGCCGCTTACCTCAACCGCCCCGCTGTCGTGCGGCGCTTGCTGCGGGCTGGCGCAGACGCGGCGGCGCGCACTGTTGGCGGCAAAACGGCGCAGCAGCTGGCCAAGGAGCAGGGTCATGCCGAGAGCGTCCACGCCTTCCGGCAGCATATCGCGATGACTGCGGGCCAGCGCGAGGCGGCGGCGGGCGGCGCGGGCGGCGCTTCGTCGGGCGCGGCGGCGGCAGCTGAAGACGCGCCGCTGCTCGGCCAGCGAGTCGAGCTCGGCGGGCTCTCGGCCCGACCCGAGCTGAACGGGAAGCGGGGCGTGGCTCAGAGCTTCGAGGGCGGGCGGTACGCGGTGGCGCTCGAGGGCGGCGGCGAGAGCGTGCGCGTGCGGCCGAGTAATCTGTCGCCGGCGGCGGCGGAGCCGAGCGGTGCCGCTTCAGTCTCCGATGAGGTAGTGACAGCAGCTGAGCAAGGCGACGAGGCAGCGGTGCTGGCGTGGCTCGGCAGTGGCGGGCGGGCCGACGCGACGTACGAGAGAGGCGGCGTGAGCGGCCTCACGCTGATGATGGCCGCCGCCAGCAACGGCCACGAGCGGGTGGTCGATTTGCTGCTGCGGCACGGGGCGGAGATCAACAAGCAGGACAGCAACGGCAACGCCGCGCTGCTTGCCGTCGCCACCAAAGGCCACGAGCGGGTGGTCGACATGCTGCTGCGGCGTGGGGCGAAGGTCAACCTGCAGAGTAGCAGCGGCGGCACCGCGCTGATGGGCGCCGCCGCCCAAGGTGACGAGCGTGTGGTCGACTTGCTGATCCGGCGCGGCGCTGAGGTCAACCTGCCGAGCAGCGACGGCGGCACCGCGCTGATGCTCGCCACCTTCTACAACCGCCCCGCCATCATGCGGCGCTTGCTGCGAGCGGGCGCAGACACGGCGGCGGTCGGATTTAACAACAGCGAAGTGCTGCATATCGCCAAGGGGAAGGGCCACTTCGAGTGTGTGCGCGTCATCGAGGAGCATGCGGCGGCGGAGGCGGCGGCTGACCAGGCGGCGAAGGAGGCGGCGTGGGCTGCCGAGGCGGAGGTGAGGGAGGCGGAGAGAGCGGCGGCAGAAGCGGAGGCGGCGCGGCATGCCGAGGCGCTGCTGGCGGAGGAGGAAGCGGAGAAGAAGGAGGCGGAGGAGCGCGCAAAGAGCAAGAAGGGCAGAAAGAAGAAGAAGAGCGGCGAGGCAGTCGTCTTGGCGCCTGGCCCCAGCGTCACCGCCGCTCTGCCGCCGTCAACCCCACCGCGAGCCCCATCTGCTCCGCCCGCCGACGCAGCTGCCATCGCCGCAGCGGACCAGGCGCTGCAGCAGGCCGTGGCCGCTGGCTCGTACGACGGATTAGCGAGCGCGCTGGAGACGTGCAGTAGCCTCGCGAGCCCGGCCGTGCTGGCGGCGGCGAGGCGCGCGCGCGACAAGCTCAA